TTGTTTGATAGTCACCATCTCTATAATATTTCCCAGTAACAACATCCTGTTCGATATCAACTCTTTCACGCAATTCTTTTGGTCTGCGTTCAACTATTATGTCAGCATCCATTTCTTTTCGAGCTCTTATTTCGCGTATACGTTCAGGTTCTCTTTGTTCATCTTCGGTTATTATCACCTTTCTTCCAACACTCTTTTGTTGATAGTCACCGTCTCTATAATATTTCCCAGTAACAACATCCTGTTCGATATCAACTCTTTCACGCAATTCTTTTGGTCTGCGTTCAACTATTATGTCAGCGTCCACTTCTTTTCGACCTCTTGTTTTGCGTATACGTTCAGGTTCTCTTTGTTCATCTTCGGTTATAATCACCCTTTTTTCAACATTCTTCTGTTGATAGTCACTGTCTCTATAGTATTTTCCAGTAACAACATCCTGTTCGATATCAACTCTTCCCCGCAATTCTGTTGGTCTGCTTTCAACTCTTATCTCAGCATCCATTTCTTCACGAGATCTTGTTCCACGTATGCGTTCCGGCTCTCTTTGTATATCTTCGGTTATTATCACCTTCTTTCCAACACTCCGTTGTTGATAGTCACTGTCTCTATAGTATTTTCCAGTAACAACATCCTGTTCAATGTCAACTCTTTCACGTAATTCTCTTGGTTTGCGTTCAACCATTATCTCAGAATCCATTTCTTTTCGAGCTCTTGTTTCGCGTATACCTTCAGGTTCTCTTTGTTCATCTTCGGTTATGATCACCTTTGTTCCAACACTCTTTTGTCGATAGTCACTGTCTCTATAGTATTTTCCAGTAACAGCATCCTGTTCGATGTCAACTCTTTCACGCAATTCTCTTGGTCTGCGTTCAACCATTATCTCGGCATCCATTTCTTTTCGAGCTCTTGTTCTGCGTATATGTTCAGGTTCTCTTTGTCCATGTTCAGTTATTATCACCTTTCTTCCCACACTAGTTTGTTGATAGTCACTGTCTGTATAGTATTTTCCAGTAACAACATCCTGTTCAATGTCCACTCTTTCACGCAGTTCTTTTGGTCTGCGTTCGACAATTACATCAGCATTGACATCTCTTCTACGGACCACCTCAGGTTGTTCATCTACATACCGAATGTTTACTTGTTCATTTCTCCTGTCGCTATAATACTGTTGTTGTTCTGAAGAACCGTCAGTATAAAACACTCTGGTGTATTTCTTTCTACTTAACTGTGTCTGTCCTGGCTCCTGCGACGTAGGTTCTCTCATCTCAAAGCCTTCGTTCACATAATCACGCCGGTAACCAGAAACAGTAATTTCTGGATCGTATTGAACATCCACTAGAGTTTGACCGTGAATGGATGAATCGACTATAACAGATGGAACATATTCCCTTTCGACCTGTATGGAAGTATAAATATACAGGTGTAATTTATCACTTTATTACTGCATAACATTTACATATAAAAATGAGCGTGTGTAATACTGTCATAAATCATGTTTTTGACGATTGCATTTTTGTTTAAAGGGGAAGGGGTATAACCATACCTCAATGTTTCAACTAGTTCATTATTTAGCAAATTATCTGATTGATGATATTCAATGAATATATGCTACTACCACCCAGCCTAATTTGCATTCTATTCCATACAATCTATACAAAATGTTATAACTTATAGCATGTTATGTTGAATTATGTGACCACATATCTATTGAAAATCGTATTGTAATTATTTTTATTCATTACTTATACAGTAATCGCACAACGCTGTAATGACGATGTGAGTTTATACCGTTAACTTTTTAGTAGGGCTGCATTAGGATCTAAAATCTAGAGCAATAATATAGGAATGCAGATTACAACTTATAGTCAAAGCTAAATAGAAGAAGATAGAGCAGTTCGCGATATAGTGGAACGTCCATGAGAGCAATTTTACTCCATTCAATAGGCGGTGCTATAATTAAACAGAAATCTGTAATCAAGGGCACCGCTCAGGTTCGTTTGTGTCTTGTAGTTTCTCCACTCCGCCAAATGGTCAATATTTACTCCACTCGCGGGAGGGCGGACGTTCCATCAATTTTAATGCAAACTACGTGAAGAGCTAATTATTCTGTTATATAAGTTCTTTTGTATAGTGAACATTCGGCCAACGGTCATACGACGCATTTAAGTGCCCGGCTTTACGACACAGCCCGAAGCGATTTGTCATCGTGTACAGTCTCAGTTTGTCTTGAGAATATTAACCATGTTTTAGTATACAGGCACGATCCGACTCAGATTGATCTCTACTATAATAGTTAAAAATTATAGTAGAGATCAGTGGATCATACTATTAATCGCGACGGGTTGGGTCGTGCTACGCTGTCTGAGTTGGCCTTTGTACTCACGTGTTTCGACAGAAGATAAACGCAGATGAGTAGAACAAACCCAATACATCCGTTGAGAACTGCGAACACGTATTGTAGCGCAGGAGACCTGGTGGCCATCACTCCCATAATCAACGTAGCGGTTATGAAAATCAGGAGGAAGCATAGCACTGCAGCTTTTAATCTAAAAAAAATGTCAAGTAAAAACTTCTGTTAATTTTACACATTTATTTCAATTTCGATTTGATAGTAATTGTGTATTTTTAATCAAATTAAAAAGTAATAGACCTATAATAATCTATATTTACTACGATATCGATTATTTAAATATCTTTAAGCGAATTTTTGTGTTACAAATACACCATGCTAAATGATTATTTCTAAATTATTGTTTATTCGGGCAAATATACAAAACAACACAGGTTAACTAATCCGAAATGCGAATTACTACCACAAGATAGAGGTTCCTTATTGGAATTTTGATAGAGTTCGAAACTCGAACATACGTTCTATAGACGCACCTTGCGTTTGATATCAACGACTTTTACACGTACGGTATGTCTTTCTCTGTAATTATCATAGAGATATAATATGTTTAATAGCTCTATGGTAATTATAGACTCTTGTCTTTTAAAGGAGGCCTCCTAGGTCGTGGTAGTAGGCCTACATTCTGCGATAGGGTTCCGGGACCTCTAGTAATTCTATACTCTTTGGTTGTATGGTTGATTAAGTCTTACATTATATGTCTTCGGTGTCTGTGCTCTGTCCTGTAGATGGTGACTTTCCTAGGTCTATCACAGCAGCATCGGCAAATATCACCACATTGGCAAGTATCGCAACAACGTTCACATCCCCGGAAGATATCACATAAGCATCGGCATATTATAAATGTCAACAACATCAGGAACGATAACTTTAAAAATGCAAATTAGAACTATTAACATTTTTATGTAGTGAGACTGATCACAAGTGACAAAAAACAAGGGTGGACATATTTCGGGAACATAAAAATATTTATTTATATACAAATATTTTTCTGTCGTCCCTACAACCTTCTTCAGTGTGAACTGAACATACAACAGACCTTGCGTAGTATTTTAGCATATTAATTAGCATGATGTATATATATATATATATATATATATATATATATATATATATATATATATATATATATTTCCTGTCTCTTATACACATCTAGATGTGTATAAGAGACAGAACATACACAACATCAGGATCTAGCCATGGCCTGGAGAAGAACATATCCATTGATTAATCTATGACGATGACGTCATTATAATTATGAATATTGTTATTGATTTTTCTATTTTTGTATTATGAACGGTGGCATAAATACACATTCTTTTACTGAAATTTTATTAAGAATATCAGATATTACACAAATAAAATCGTCTGAATAGCAAAGTAATTAATCAAGTGTGTAGGTCATAGGTCATTACACTATAAATTTATTAAACTCTGTATACTGTAAACTTAGAGTTTATCAGAATTGTTGCTGTTTCTAAGTATTTCATACCGAACAAATAAACAAATAAAAAATATATAGGAGATAAATCTCCATAAAATTTAAATAAGAATGAACTATTATTATTATTATTATTATTATTATTATTATTATTATTATTATTAAAACAGTACAAACAAAAAAAGAACAAAATAGAATTTTAGTATCTTTGAATTATGTATGATGGTATTTTATCTTAAAATAATCCATACATAATCTAAGAGACTTATACCAGAATATTTCGTCCGTATAGTAGTCCCACAACAAGCCAGCGCTCAATCCAGCAATCAAGATTGGGATTCCCCATCCAAAAGTCTGGTACAAGCAAGTGTTGGAGTTCGAACGACAAGACTGAATATTTGTTTTGATAACGAAATCGAATATCAGTATTAACAGCCACATGCAGACGGCTAATAAAGAAAAGTGGACTACCAACGTCACGAGGTTTGGATAATTCTAAAAGACAAAATCAGCAATAACGATCATCAATCAATCAATTTATCAATCAATCAAAACTACTTAAATAGCGTCATCGTCCATCACATGTTCGTATTAGCTTATCTATGAACGTATTACTTTAAGGACTTCATTATAATATAATACCTTTATTTGAAAACTACACTTTTGAATTAGTGGAACATGTCATTCATGTTTATTATATCTTTGATTTTGCAATCTAATTATTTAATTAATTGTATATACAGTAATTAATGTAATATTTTGTATTGTATTTTTGCATTCTTATGTAAAGCGCCTTTGAATATGAATAGTCACAAAAAGGGTAATATATAAATTTGGTAAATAAATAAAGAAAATAAATAAATGTTTTGTAGGAATGGAGAGAGAAAAATAAGATTTTCGAAAACCAAAATCCTATCTCGCAAACCTATGCATATGGTCGCAACTTCGAATTAGAAGTACGTGTCACCTTCCACTCACTGCATTATGGAACATTTCTACTATGCAGTAGATATGGAAACTCGACGTTTTAATAGCATACAAGCATTGTAGCAGAGACTAATGGGAATATAAATAGTAATTAAGTGGAGCTGTAGTTGGTAACGATTGCTTGTCTTCAATTCGCAGCGCATGGGTTCAAGTTCGGTCAGGTTAGATTGTTTTACCTCACCACTAATATCTCTCCTTCCTTAACCTCAGAATGAAATGAATTTTCAAAAAATGAAGGCCGACTTACTATAATAAATTTCCAATCAACAATTGTATCACATAGCAGAGCGATATTGGCAAATATCAACGCCATGGCCAGGCTTCGGATTGTGTGTCTTTCTGGAAGATGTTTCAGTCTCCTAAACGGTTAAAATGGTCATAAATTATTAACAACACGTAGCCTGTCGTATAGGGCATCAGTGAAGGATGCAAGGGGCCCTGAAGGGGCCCTAGCCGGCCCGTTCCCCCTCCCCTAAGTTTTTTCAAAATTATATATAAAAATTGAGAAAAATGAAAAATTATATTCAAATTTAAGTCTGAAAGTGCCATTTCCGACCAACTAGAGGTGCCATAATCATAAATTATCTTTACCCCCTTTTCGTGAAATTCCTTTCTTGTTTCCCCTGTATTTTGAATTCCTGGATCCGCCACTGGACATCCAATGTCATTAAATGTTTGTATTTTTAGTTCCAGACCATTTTCATTGGTCTTTTAATACCAAACCTCGAATAGAAGCCCAATGGGCCTTACCTCTAGACGAATCCCATCGCGAATTGAAGCCCCCCCCCCACCCCGACCTTCTTTAGTTTGTAAAAGTAGCCTCTAAAAGAAGCCCATCTCGAAAAGAAGTTCATAGGCTTCTTTTCAAGATAGCATGGGCTTTTTGTTCGTAAAAGTAAAGTACATACACTATACATGAATTTCAAAGAAACAAATTAAAATACGCTCTTTTTATAAAGTAGCTTAGATGATTATTTTTTACTTTCTTGCTAGGCCTATATTATCGATGTTTATACATATTTTTGTGTCTGTATTTATTGTTTTATAGTAGTAATCCCCAAAATTTGAAGCATTCATTTTGAAAACAGTCCCTCTTTACTTTGCAAAAGTAGCCTCGAAAAGGAGCCCATCCAAAGTTCACAAAAAAAAAAAAAAAAAAAAAAAAAAAAAAAAAAAAAAAAAAAAAAAAAAAAAGCCAGGGCTTTAATTCAAATATGGACAATGTAGTATTCATTAGTAGTGGTATCCGTTATAAGACAAGGGAACAGAACGACAATAACTTATACTGTACTTCCAGTTCGCCCTCCAATTCGAGAACACCTTTTATGACCTCTCTCGGGGGTCGGTCTCGATAGAGGGTTAGCTTAGTGTAATTGTTTCTGTTTTTATTATGATTTTTATTTTAACCCCAAAAACCTAATTGTAGAAATACTGTGATGGTGTCCGGTGGGGTATTTACTTGTAGTTAAGTTAGTTAAGTCGATCTTATTAATGTTTGTTCGGGACTTCATAGGCAAAAGCTTTGCTTGTTTTTATTGCCCCTTTCCATTTCAATTAATCATCTCTGTTTTTCATTTATTTGATAATTCTATATGTTATTTGATGTTTGAATTTTAATTGGAATAAAGTTATACTTTACTATGATTATGATTAATAAATTGAAGATTGATATTTGGTTCTTTGAAAATGTGGTCTCGAATTAGAGGGGTCTTGGAATTAAAGAGGTATCGAATTTGAGGGCGCATTATAAATATCAATAAAATGAAAACTTACTGAAATATACAGCTTCCAATAAAGAGGAATATGAGACAGAGGAGTGATACCGCTATACCAACACAAAGCACAATCACAAGTGTTCGTTGATTAGTCAACTGTAGTAAACAATTAACAAATAATAAACATTAATAATGATTTAGGCAGTAGAACACTTTTTTCCTTATCAAGGAAATTAATATTCCTTCAAGATTTCATCAGCGTAACTAAGAGCTTGTTGGTATAGATCAAATAATTACAGTACAATAAACAGTCGGGATATATAAGCAAACATAGATAAATAATTATATATATG